TCCCCAGCCAGGATCCTGGCTGGGGAATTCTGGGAGATGAAGTCCACACATCTTAAAGTTGCTGAGATTGAGAAACACTGGTCTAACCCTAAAACAAGCAAGATGGCACTGTTTTTAGCCAGGAAAAAAGATCCACTCTCTGCTCCCTTCTACCAACAACTGCCTATTTTCTGCCATCTTCAACTGAACAAGAAATTGTTCATACCAAAATCTTCTTGGTTCATATACGTTACACTAGAAAGCATAAGATATGCTACGCTAGTTTGACATACTGAGTCCGATCATCGAAATGTTTGCATTTTCCTTGATTACACATGTATACACACAGACATGGACATCAATACCTGCTGGTGCTTGTTTCTGTTATTCTGCATTTCCTTATCAAGCCAGTTTCCTTGTATTTTGTTTTTGTTTTCTGTTTTTTGTATTTGTTTCCTTGTATGTTGCCCATCAAGCAAGTTTAATATTTGCCTAGGGAGCCCCATGAACACTCATAGGGAAATTAGCTAATCAAGTTAATGTTTTGAACAGGCGTAGTGAGAGTCTAATAATGCAGCGTTGAAAGTGGTGCTTAGAAAAATGGAAAACATCCTTCTTCAGACAAGCTGAAGTTCGGAAATCGGACCTCTCGTCTCTTTAAAAAAAAAAAAAAACTGTTTCTGCCCCAAGGAGAGAGTAATTTCTCTGTTTATTCACTCTCACTCCTCCCTTGTCACCCTGGAGCAACATGAGTCTCTCCCCTTTCCTATGAAGACAGCGTCAGCAAGGAGGCTAGACAAAATATTTAGGGGAGAAAAAAGAAAACACAGTGGATCTGACCTCCAGGAAACAGCTGGAAAATTCTTCCTCCTGTAGAACTTTTAGAAAACAGGACCTCCAATTTTATTGCTGGTGGAGAATTCCAGAAAGCGATTTTTTTAAAAAAAAAAAATTAGCTTTCATTTAAAGAGCTGTAAAAGTCATTGAAGACTTAATTCCTTAAAGTACAGCCTGCTCTGTGAAAAGTATGAAATATTTCCTGGTTTATAGGTATTAATTCAGCATGACAGTATTGGAGGAGAACAATGACAGCTCTTGTGAACCGTCATTGCGTTTGCATGCATTTAAAGCAAGCACAGGGATATCCTCAATTAAAACAGTATTTGCCTCGGGGTAGTGAAGATTCAGCTACACTTTCACCAAACCTTTCTTATGGGCCCACTCTGTAATTTTACAACCTTGTGTGGATTTCCAGAAGAAGTCTTTTAATGGGCCATTTATGACATGAGCCTCAAAGAACAGGTTGGGGATAGATTGTCATGGAGAAAAAAAATCTATCGATGAGGTCGCTAAGAGTCAACAGGGACTTGAAGGCACTTGATCAATCAATCAATCAATCATGATATGAAGTGGTTACCAGGAACAGACAGACGCTCCTCTTAAGCAGAAAAGCAGTGGTTCTTCCACTTCTTCCCAGCAATTAAAAAAAAAAAACAAGTTCTATAGCTAAACCACCAGGAAGTTTGTGGTTAATGGTGCTGTTCTGTTGGAATCTTGTGATGAAACTATCCTGAGTATGTAATAATAATCTTCGCTTCCACCTGATGCCAGATTTACACGTTTGTAACTGTATTAACTTACACTGCTTCCCTTTTTAACTTGCCTTTTTTTTCCTTCCCTTTTTTTTCCTTCTCTCTCTTTCACAAAATGCTGAAATTTGGGAATAAAAGCAAATTGGGAGAGCAATTTTTCTCCCCCATCTTGTACTAAGTTAGTCTGTTAAAACACTATTAAAGAATCACAAAACACTATTACAGGCTCACAAAATTATTAATGTACAAACTTTGGCATGAATCTGATGAAGTGAGAGAGTTTATGTAGTAATAAATCAGCCTTTAAAATTCTGCAAGATTCTTCATTGCTTTTGCTGCAAAAAAAGTTGCATCGCTCTTGAATTCTCTTAAAATACTGTATAACTAAATGTAATATACAAGTAAATTGGTAAAATAACTTCTGTATCAGAACCAAATCACACCTTGCCATTCACAAATTACATTCTGGTATGACCAACGAAACTCAAAATGAAATTATTCAGAGAGGAACAGACTTGACATCAACCAAATCGTGTTTTTTGTCTCCACTTTGTTTACTTTTCCCCAGAGTAACAACTGCTAATCGTTTTACCAAGATAATAAAATATCTCCCCTTGGAATTTAAGGATCTTAGAGCTCAGCTACTACAAGCTGCGACTATGTTTGCACAACCTGTTAGAACTAGGCTAAAATGGGGTTGGGTCTTTTGTAGTTCAACATGTTCTAGGAAACCAAGAGATTGTCTCAGCAAATTGTGCAAGTCAGGCTTAAAGTCATATGATTGATTGTATAAGGCTGATTAACAAAACCTGGGATTTGTTCATCCAGGTTTAGGAATAAGAACAAGTCTTTACTGTGATCAAAGATCAGCTAGTAATAAAGCTAACGAATAAAATGAATACAATGCATTTAGACTATTGAATGGATCCCTTGGGTTTGGTTCTTGTGTCGGAGTCTCTGACACAAATGAGAGAGGGGAGTTTGCTCAGTCCTGCAAAAATAGAAGCCCCCTAAGAATGAGCTCCAGAAACACATTTGATATTAAGAATTAACACCACGAATAATACATTCATTATTTAAAGCAACTTCCATTGTCCCTAACACATCTGCAGGCCTTCCAATTTTAATCCAGGAGTTCCTGAAATATAATCCCCATTATCCTCCACTGTTGGCCATGCTGAAGGGGGCTAATGGGTGCTGAAGTCCACATCATCTGGAAGGTCACCTATGAAGTTGCCCCCTCTCATTTTATTGCTTCCTTTTCCCACCTTAAAAGTAAAATGTGGACTAGCCTGGCCAAAAAAACCCCTCTTCTTCAACAAGAATGACAAATATGGGCGACAAACGGAATTGTCAAAATAAGAGATTTTGGGCTGGAGCGGAGAACGAATCTTTGTGGTGATCAGACAGAAGTATGGGGGCCACGGAAGTCCTAGCTTGATTCCAAGTTTAAGCATTTATGCTCAAAGCCAGGGGTTGCGTGGGGAAATATTCTGTTGTGAATGAGGTTAAAGCCTGAAACTGAAAGGAGGAAGAAGAGGTTTGTCAATGCAAGAGGGAAACCAAGAAGAGTTAGGTGGAAAGAGAAGGTATCCATGCTAAATATGGGAAGGGACAGGCGGTGATGGTGGGTGTCGAAGCAAAACGCATTGGGGAGTCATCGGAGTCGGGGGCGGCGACAATAATATCCTGACCTTGGAGTGAAGAGAAAGTAGGATGTCAATGCAAAAATAGAAAGGGTGGGAGGGGCTGGCAGCCTGCAGTTGAAAGGCGGGGGGGGGGGTCTTAATACTGAAGAAAAGCAAGGGGGGAGGATTACGGCAAAGATGGATGAAAGAGCAATTAATGAGAGGGAAGGGACTCGTTTTCCCGGGGAGGGGGAGGAAGGAAGCCTCCCCAAGCAACGTGGGAACAGACAGAAGCAGCAAAGTTTGGGAGGGAGAGAAACTTGACTTGAGATTGAAGGGGGGGCACCAAAATAAGCTGCCGGGGGGGTGT